CCTAAGGGCTTATCCGAAGTTATTTAGAGATTCAAACTGTTTCCCTAAACCAGTAAGTACATGCTCCTATGAACTAAGCAACATAGGTACATTGCTTTGTTCGGAACCAGAGACCAAAACATTAGAAGATTGGGGGGTCAGACCTCTTCGATTGCCCTAGTATTACGTGAAGTACTTTCACCCCTTTGTTCACTTCCATCAAATACATAGATGAACACATTATTCTCGCCTCCGTGTGCATTCAACATCCTCTCAATATCATCGTCAATGAATATATTCACAATAAAACTTCTATTTCCCAGGACAAAATACAGCAATGATATCAAGTGCATGTCCAGTGAAAAACGCTATGCTGTATGTTTTCGCAGATCATCTAACCTAGTTTTACTGTCAATCATAAATATGTATGTATCACCACCAATATAATCTAAAATCCCATCGACATTTGATTGTAGTTCTCCACCAAAAATACAATAAATCAATCTGTTATATCACTCATTTTCTTTTGTCCTGTACAAGATTTGTAATAATTTACACTCCACGCATTGAACTTGCCCAAGTTTGGTGAGCTCAACCTAGATCTTGCACAAGATTTGTAATAATTTACACTCCACGCATTGAACTTGCCCAAGTTTGGTGAGCTCAACCTAGATCTTTCTAAAAGAGCTACGATCAAATTTTAACAGAAGTTAGGTAGGCATATTTTTGGGGTGTACATAACCTACAAAAACATTTCTAACAATGATTATCTTAATACTGCATCTTAACGAATTTATCCTGTTAATGTCTAGATTTTTTAGTAAATTATGGAAAATAGTCTTAAAATAAATGGCCTCATAAGAGGACGCAACTTTTAAAAGAAACATGTAATTCAATATTTCTACAACGTAAAACTAGTTCATATCCAAGTTAAACTAGCACAATGCCTTTTTTTTGCGAAATGAAACAAAACTAAATGACTTTGTAGACGTGAATTTGAATGCATTTGAAATTGGAGAAAAACCTGATCCTAAATTTCTAGTATATAAACAATACTATTATTTCTCTAAGCTATAGCTAAGCAATACCATTTCTCTGACCTATTGTTCAATATAACAATTTAAATAATCACAATATATACAACTAGCAATATAGACCATCCTAAAGTCTGTTTTTCGGGTTTTTTTTTGTTTTTTTAAAAGAGTTACTGCTAAAATTAACGAGAGCTAGGCTTTGTTTTTTTAATAACAAACTAAATTTGAACAAGAGGAAGATGATGGATCATGAAATAAGAAACAATTGACGTAAAGATAACCAAGAGAAAACAGATGCGACAAAACAAACCCAAAATTTACTACAACCAAGAACATTCAAGCCCTAAACTTACAATAGAGAAAAAATGACAAACTCAATAACAATTTAATGAGAAAAAACTACAATAATTCTTAAGCCAAGAGTAATCAATTGAGATCAAATGACTGAATGATTTTCAATCTAAGAAAAACCCAAAATTTCATACTACCAAGAACATCCTAACCTAGAATGACAATAGACAATAGAGAAAAAAAGCCGAACTCCGTTACAAATTCAAAAGAAAAACTTCAATAATTCTTAAGCCATGAGCAATCAATTTAGATCAAATGACTGAATGATTTTCAATCTAAAAAACACTCAAAATTTCCTACCACCACGATCATTTTAGCCCTAAAATGACAATAGAGAAAAAAAAAAGCCAAACTCCATAACGACTTCATAAGAAAAACTTCAATAATTCTTAAACTATGAGCAATCCATCCCTTCATTGTCATTCATAGATCAAATACAACAAATTTCAATGAACAATAACCCAACAATAGATTTTGGCAATTTTATTTCATAAACTGTTACATATTTATTTAATAAGAACTAGTTAAAAAACTCTTTCATACTTTTGATGGGGCTGAGAGATTGAACTAAAAATGGAGCTCGGGCTTTGGGGGCTTAGGTTGGGCCGAAGAAATTGAGAACCCGAGCCGTTTCATAGAGAGCGTAGGCCTTCAGTCCTTTGCATACGGAGAGGGAGAGAGCTCGGGCCGAGAGAGAGAGAGAAAGCGAGAGAGAGGGAGGTCGGGTCAGGAGAGAGAGCGAGAGAGAGGGAGGAAGCTCAGGCCGAGAGTTAAAGTGAGAGAGAGAGAGAGAGAGAGGAAACTGTTGTTAAAAAATGAGAGAGAG